GGATGAGCTTGCAAGGGATTTTATTCCTTTCCTTCCTTTTTACTTTTTACTTAAATACACAGTTGTTGCTCTTCCCAGGCAATTGTGGAGGTTCAGGGCTGGTTCCTACTTGTGCATAATTCCCCGTGCAATTCCGTACTCGGAGCGCGCTCTGACTCGCTGGTGGATTATCCCGGGCACCACTAGGTAGCACTGTGAAATAAAGTTCCACCAACCCCCACGCCACTTCTGCACTCCCCAGACCAGCCACCGCTCACTGGGACAAAGAAACTGGATTCTGGGGTGCTTGGCTTAAATGTGATGGAGAAAAGCTGGCGAGGGCAGCTGTAAAGCTTCCTGCAGCGCTGGGTGCAGCTGTGTGTTGGCTGCCAGTGCCTTCTGCACCACGGGCGCTGCAAACCTTCCTGAAATGATCAATCTTGTGCTTTGATAGCGACAGCTACATAATATAGCTAAGGTGTCCTGCGATCCAATTTACTGCACAGTGTTCTTATTATAAGTATTTTCCTTCTCATAAAAAGGACTCTATTTACTGGAATATAGCTGCTATGTTACTTTGTCATTTGATGCTTAAGAGACTTGGGTTAAAATGTGAGTTTGTTCCATATGAATGAGTTTTATTAATTCCCCAAAGATTTGTTTGATTTCTGATTTTCATTGAAATAATCCACAAAGGAAAATGTATTGTTTTGACTTACTCTGTTAAGTAGCCTCCTTCTGAGGGAGCAGAATTGGGTAACAATTGCTCTTTTTTATTATGTTAGTTTTTATTAAAATTATTTTAGCTCCATGGCGGAAATACTTGTGATTGCTACCCATGAAATTAAAGCAGATGACTTGCCAGTTTTATCTTTAACTTTCAGCAAGCTGGTGAGGTAACTTCTTGCATCTTGCTCAACCCTGCAGTCACTCCTGCATGTTTGCGTGGGCAGAACATATCACTGCTTTTTAAAATTAGAACTCGCCCCGACTGCCACAGGGAATGGAGATGCGATAAAGGGCTGGAGCATCTCGCTCTGCGGTGCCTGCCCAGCCGAAACACTTGGGTTACAGAAACCCTGGAAAGTCTACATGGCCCCTGGCTTCAGGGTGGTGATTTGCACTCGCTGTCATGAAACCTGTTGGAAAATGCTGGTGTTGGCATTAGTTGAGGGTCTGGAAAAAAATAGGACAATCATTTTCCTGTATCTCTATTGCTGCTTGTAATGGGTTTTCTGTCTGTGAAGTGGTTATCTCTACAAAAGGCTTTTTGCATTGGGCATAATCCGCTGCTGTTAAGGAAAGGCCTGGAAAGTGCTGACCAAAAAGGGCCAGGTGTTTACACTGAGCTCTATCGTCTGTGCTGGGTGAGCATGGTAGTTGCACCCCACGTTGAGCTGAAACAAATGTCCTTATTTTGCCTTGACAAGAGCCTGAATAGCTTGAGGTTTTCATCCTTTTATACTTTGGGCCACCCTGGTTTAGAAAGCAAAAATGTTAGAGCAGCACCTGCTGCTCTGGCCGTGCCTGTTAGCACTCACTGCCGTGGTGCTTTACCTTATCTGGCTCCTCCTGAAACATCTGCAAGTAAGTTATTTGGTATTTTCATCCCTGTGAGGATTTATGGTGACCTCCGGGGGACCTTAATCCCAGGATCAATACACTCCTGACACCTGTAGATCAACATAAACTTGACCCTTGGTCTTGACAAATCTATCACTGTGCTGCCCTTTTCCTAAAGCATCTCCTGCATTGGAAGGAGAGGAGGTCGGAGGGGAGTGGGATGGCAGCCAGGTAGACCTGCTGTCCTGCCCGAGGTCAAGAGTCAAAACCATAAATGCAGCGCCCGCCGGCGGGGACCCGGGGACAGCGGCTTGGGGAAAGGGTCGCTGGGCTGCACTAAAGCCCCGCGTGCCTCCACGCGGGTGTTTACACCGGGCAGCAGCAGAGGTGGCTGCTGCGCCAAGGACGGGCTCCATAAAACGCCAGATTTGGGGAAAGCTCCGCTCTTCACCGGGGCCGTGCTGATAAGGTGGGCTCGGCTGCTTTAAAAAGCTGTCGGTTGTGCTCATCCTATCTTTAGCTCTGGTCATCGGGAAGCGTTTTCCCTTTGAGACGGCGGCTGCTCCCTGGGGAGAGGTTTTCCCGCTCGCCCCCGCGCTGTCCGTTTCTCGGCGCGCTCCGCGTGCGGGAGCCGAGGCCTTGGGCACCGCACGGCTCTGCCCGCGGCCAAGGGGCCGCTGAGGAGCCCCCTTGTGCCCTGAACCTCTGCCTGGTGCAGGTGCAAAGCGACGTGACCTGCTCAAAACTCTGCCTCAAACGAATGTCAAGCCTAGAGTTAAAATGGTATTTCCTGATTTCAAGATCTCCCTGGCTCTAAGTTTGCTGAACAAAGCTAACCAAGAAGTACAGCAATAAGAAGCATAGGTAGACAGAGGAGTGCTGTTTATCTAGAAAGTGTTTTCTGAAAAAAAAATCTTTTTCCCCCCTTCAAAAAGTTTTTCACAAAATCTCAGCAGCTCCTTAAGATGTCCCTGAGCGAAAGTGGCTTTGGTTCTGTTTTAAAATAAATACCCACCTAAAAATAAGTCCTGTGGCCCTGTGGTCCTCAACAAAATTTGAATCTCCTCTAAACATTCCTATTTTTCCTCGAGTGGCCAGGTGAGGGATGCTGGTGTCCTGGCTGATCCGATAGCAAGGGGCAGGGTCTCAAAGGAGACCTTTGATCGCATTGGACTAATGCATTTTGCAGAAAGTGGTGCAAAACTGGGTGCACACCAAAACCTGCCAAGTTTTTGCAGGATGTTATTTCACAGAGGAGGGAAAAAAAGGAAAGGGAGAAGAAGAGCCGAGTGCAGCTAATGAGCTGCAGCGCCTTCGTTTCAGTGGCCATGGGGAACAGCTGCACGAGGCCAGGGGACCTCCCTGCAATGAAAGGAATGGCCATCTGGGAGCCCTGGGCAGGGAGAGGAGCAGGAGTGGAGAGCTGGGGGCATTTCCCTCTGCTGCGCAGTTCATCAGCGCTCTGCCTTTGAGGATGGATCTTGGAGGGCCAGCTCCGCAAATCTGCTGGGGAGCAGTCCTTAAAGCCATCGGGTTTGTGTTCATTTTAAGGGCATGTTTTACTACTGGGAGCAAATAAGTGCTTTTTAACAGTGAGGGTGACAGAGCACTGGAACAGGCTGGCCAGAGAGGTTGTGGAGTCTCCTTCTCTGGAGATCTTCAAAACCCGCTTGGATGCAGTCCTGTGCCACGTGCTTTAGGTGTCCCTGCGTATGCAGGGGGGTTGGACTAGATGATCTCTAGAGGTCCCTTCCAACCCTAAGCATTCTATGATTCTATGATTCTATGATTCTATAAAATAGCAATGTGGCACCTGGTAGTCAATGCAACTGCCCTTCAGCGAGCCCTGAGTAATTCCTACTGCGAAAGGAAGAGCAGCAGCCCCAATGCACGGGTCGAGAGACCATCACCTGCACTGTGACAGTGACAGGGTTACGTACCCGCCATGAGTAAGCAGGTACAGCCAGCGTCTGACTGACATTGCTGTACCCCGGTGGTCCCAACAACAGAACTGTTATCCCAGATGGGGAAAGGAGGCTCTGCGTGTGTCAAGAGAGCGATCTTGCCATTCCCCTTGGGAATGTAGAGTGAAAACAGCATTTGAAATGTTTTGTGTCTTGATTCAGAAATGTTCGTTCCACAGGGTTCAGCCTTTGGTGCTGGAGTTTGATGCCAAAGTTTGGGTTAGCACCAAACCTTGCGGGGATCCAACCCGAATTCTCCACGGCCTTCTGAGTGAATCCCAATGTCTCTGGATGTGCCGCTTTATCCAAGTGTGATCCCAGCAGCTCGTAGGGACAGTGGTGTCTGTTCAAAGCCACCTGCACAATGTTTTGAAGTGCCACCCGGGAGGATTTGCCAAGAGGCTCTGGAAGAGGCGTTCGCCGCCGCAGCCATCGGGAGCAGCGACGGCAGCGCCGCGCTCGCGCGGGGGGGACCGCGGCCTCCCAGGGCGATTCCAGCCCCACGAGCGGCCGTGCGCTGCCAGGAGCCGTCCGTCATCTCCCGCTGTGACCTTGGGCCACCTGCCCGCTGCCTGCAAGGCCGGCAATTAAAACGAAAGGTAATGAAGACAGCGAGACATGAAAGGGCTTTGCGCTGGCTGATCAAAGAGCAAGGGCGCTGTGTTTTCACAGCCAGAATATTGGGAGCAATAGGGCTGAAAACGTGCCTGGGAAAGAAAGAAAAGCAAATGGAGTATCTGGAAGCTACAATTATCCCTGTCATTTCAGTGTGTTGCACTAGGGGTAACTTTTTTTGCCCTCCTATCTTTTGTGAAAAGCAGTAAGTAACTACTTGCAGCCAATTGCTCAGAGGCTAATTTTTGAGTGTGTAAGACAAAATGTAATGTATGTTGTTAGTGCTGAGGGCTGGACAGGAGATTTTAGTTCTAGCTCCAATGCTGTCCTTATGAAAGGAGTTGTTTAGATGTAAATTCTCAGGACTAGATAGGGATGGTCTCCAACCTGGTGTCAAAACAGACAAATGTAGTCACTTCAGGGCTCTGCCTGTGTGTGCCTAAAAGGAGAATTTAGCCTGAGGTCCCAAAGGGCAAGCTCTGTGTGAGCAGTGCAGCACAGGGTCTCTTTTAATAGCAGCAACTGTGCTCTCAAAACCACAGCTAGGTAAAGCAGTTTGTTCTGGCCTTGCTTTGAGAGCTGTTGGCCATAGGGATGTCCGTGAGGACCCTGCACTCGGAGCACCGCTCTGTGCATGGGGCTCTGTGCTCAGTGTCTCCAGGATGGGACTCGCCATACCCGTTAATACCCGGGGGTGCATTGCTTTCCAGGCACGTAAACACACTGAAATTGGAAGCAAAAATACCCCACAGCCCAGAGCAACTACAGAAACTCTTGTACCCCTCATAACCGGGAATAAATAGCAGAAAGATACTGGAGCGTCGGCATGGGAGGATGCCAGAGAGGCAGCCGGGTGTCCGTGTGTCCGTGCGCTCCCACCGTAGCCCTCGCGCGCCGTCCGCATCGTCAGGAAAAGCTTCGCTGGGACGAGCAGCGTCCGCAAGCGGCATGTGGGTGACTGCAGTGGAGAGGAGCACAGCTCACCCTGCACCACGGGCAGGGCAGGGAGCCTCGACGCAACCAAAATCTCAATTTTCATTGCTTTCCACTGCATAAACCATCTCGCTGATACTGTTGCTGCTGAAGCCCGATTTCTGTTATAACTTTGGAATACTTGAGAGCAAGAAGCTTGCTGATTCCGCTGAGGTTTTAGGGCTTTTTCTCTTTTTGTGGTCCGTTTTTTTTAATGGTGTCTCTCGCTGACAGCCGGGCAGCGCTGCCCGTGTCTGTGGGCTGCACCTCCACCGGCTGCAGAGGCTGCTCTCAAAGCAGCTTTTATTTCTCGCAGATAGCAAGGGGGACAAAAAAGCCTGGCCTGGAAGATGGGATTTGGGGGCAGTTTCTAGGAGTTGCTCTTGGGACTTAATCGGAGCTTATGTAGGAACTCACAGAGGAGAACATGGGGTGTCTGCCCTGCTAGAATCAACTCTGCTGTATTTGGAGGGGAGTAGAGTCTCCTACTTGCAAAACAGGGAAGACCTAGAAAGTATTCCGGAGAGTAATGGAACCAGCAGAGCTAAAACACACATGATTTTTCAGGCTCATCCAACTAAGCAGGTGGTTTCCGCAGGTCCTGTGGGCGCCCGTGGCGGTGCCAGGCTCTGCCTCGCTGACCCGCAAGACGCCCCTACCTGCCCCGGGGCCGGGAGAGCCGCCCGCCTCCCCGATTGTGGCCCTGTGTTTTAGCTCTGCGCAAATGCTGTTTTAAGCAGCAATGACACAACAAATATTCTACGGTTTTGGTGGAGCTGGCGCATCAGTTGTGTAACGTATAGGAGTGGTTTAAAATTGCCCTGCTTTTGCTCTCTGGATTTTCAACTCTTTGCTGGTGCTTTGGTCAGCTGGTTTCCAGGAAAGCTTCTTGCCTTCGTCTGCCTTGTGGAGTATTAAAGCAGGCTCCAGTGACAGGACCTGTCTGTGCAGCAGGGGCGGGCACAGGATGGAGGAGCCCCGGCAGGTACCGCTGTCCCTGCCGCTAAAATCCGCAGCAATAACCTGCTGCTGCCGAGGAGTTTCCCTAACACTCTCTGCTTCCTTGGACTTCTACACAAGGCACAGTGGGATAGGGGAAAGATATCCTTAAAGATTTCTTTTTGGCACCTGTAGCCGGGGAAAAACGTGTTGGGTTGGTGAACTGCAAGAAGCAGTATGACATGACCTCTGTAATGGCAGAGTTGGAGCTGGTTTTACTTTTCAGTAAAGCGAGTAATTTTGGCAGAGAAAAAGCTGATGAAACTAGTTAAGAATAGTGACATTCGTTTTAGTATGGAAGTGGAGTAGGAACAGAGGTTCAGAGGTGCCTTTGGCTGATTGATTTGCCACTAAATGGGGCTTTCTTACCAAAAGATACTCCCAGGTGCCTGGATTTTAAATGATTACAGGAGGCAGTAACTCATTCTGGGTCACTCAACCGATTAACTCTCACAAATGTCTTGCCCTGGCCCATCTTCTGCTGGGAGAAACCTCTCTTCCCCTCTCTTTCTGCAGCAAAAACTACTACAATACGGATTTAGTCGGAGATGTAACAAACTGTCTGGGAATGAAGCATCAGGCTCCTCTGCCAGCCCGTTCCCTGCTGACTCTGGAGGCAACTGGGAAGAGCATTTTAAAGGTGCTGATTCTTCTTAATAATCCCCATTAGCAAGAACTCACTTACAGCTGATACTGATCTAAACTGTTGTCAGTGAGATGAATTAGGAGCAGGGGGCTAGGAGAGAGGCTTGTTTATCTGCTGTTTTCCTGCCGGGCTCTCAAGAACACTGAACTATTCAGCTAGTTCCTGCCAGCACCAAATCTCCTTGTTTTCTGACTCCACGGAGTAACCTTCTAAGCACGAACTTACTGAGTTAAGGACCAGTTCTGGGCACAGAGAAACTTTAGGAATTGCAGAGGCATTTTCTAGGGTGGGGGGTAAAAACTCAGATTGTGAAAAACTGCTAAAGACAGGGTATTTGATATCAATCCCCTACATCTGGTGGGATTGATTGTTATTTAGCTTGTTACTTTAAAAACAGGCAAATTCCAGAGAGTTTGTATAAAGCCACTGTATACTGAGCCCCACTTGCTCCTGGTGCCTTCAGCTTCATTTTTTTCTCAGATAAATAAAAATAAATAGCTGGCGTAGACAGAGAACCAAATGTCAGCAGAGGGTTATGTTAATCCAAGAAGCTGAGGGAAGGACAGTGAGACCAGATTCACGTGTATCCTAATCCTGACATCTAACAAATCCTCACATCTTTCCTGCACCTCCCAACAAGTCCCCACAGCCTGGGGGGACTTGGAAGTGCAGATTCCCTAGGGCAGTATCGGTATCCTATGCTCTTCTCTGGGATAACGTAGCCGCAGTTTGTCCGTGGCGCTCCGTGGTCGCGCACTCCTGAGGCCCGCGCAGAGCAGCGTGCGAGCGCTGCCGCCCTCGGGTTTTGGTGCAGGAGGGAGGCCCGGCCACGCGGGGTGCGCGGCCGCGCTGGCAGCTCCCGGGGACCTTTTCCCGCAGCTCGACCCCGTGGGCTCCAGCGGCTGCGGAGCTGGGCCAGGCCTGCGGGCACCGTGGGAGCCCTGGACTAGAGCAGCCGTCGGGGGGTAACTCCCGCTCTGTGTTTCTCTCGCTTTTCCCCCCAATGTGCCTAATGTGAGGCCTGCAGCTGTGCCCCTCGCGCTGTGCTCGCTTTCAGCCAGCTGCGGTTGCGTCCTCTGCCTGAATCGTTTCCTGAACCGGCTCCAAGGCTCCGGCTGCTCTTCCAAGTCCCTCTGTTATCCCACCGAGCATCTGCTCGGGCTGCAGTTCTGTCAGGAGTGGCAGGCAGAGGGAGAAGTGGGGTGTGAGCTGCTTTTCAGGCAGGGTCTGTGCACGTGGATCCCTGGCCGACCGGGTGTAGCGCAAGCCCAGGACAGGGCCTTTCCTTTGGGAAAGGGCACCCAAGTCCTGTGCCCAGAGCTGCCTTTGCAGAGTAACCACAGACCCAAGTGCCCCTGGGCAGTCAGATCCCCTGAGAGCTTTAGCTTTAAGATCTTATGGAGAGGGGGGAAAATAAATAAATAAATAACTAAGATGGGAAGAAAAAGTGGTGGGATCTGAGAGGAGAGGAAGGATGTTCAGAATATGGTGGAGTGAAAGGGGTGCTGGGCTGCTGTGTGGACTTATTTCCTCTCTGGCTGCTTCTGGATCGTGGTGCAGTTCAGCCTGATTGAGCGCAGTCCAGGCCGCTTTCTGAGCACAAATGACGCCTGTTTAGCTAACCCTGATGCCTCCCCTCGTGTTAACTTGGGCTTTGCCCTTTTCTGAGGGTCCCCGTGTGCACCCGGGGCTCCTGCGTACGGAGATGGGGAGGAGGTGGGAGCTCCTCGTCTGCACAGCCCAACTCGCTGCGGGGGGTTAGTCCCTCAGGAAGGAGGATGGAGGCCTGGGATGGCTCCTGATCCCACGCCTTTCCTGCCGTGTCCCAGGGCCACAGCCACCCTGGCTCCAGCCCTGTTTACTGATGGGGCCGATAGTGCCGAGGCGGGAGAGGCGGCAGGTTCCCCCATCACCTTATCAGCCTCTCAGACGCTCGGAGGATGTTTTGACTGCGCTGAATTACGGTGTTTGTTGTTCCTCGCTCTCAATAAGTGACACTTGATAGTGACTACTGTAAAAAAGCGGCTTTACACCCCCAGCCGCCTAAGCTGCTCTGGGGACACTGCTGGTGCTGGGGGAAAATCCCCCCTGAAAACGGGAGCACCCCTGGCGCTCCGCGGAAGGAGAATTGGACAAGTTCGGGTGGAGGGGCGAAACCAAACGGGGAAAACGAGGATGGAAAAGAAGTGGAAACCCCCCGAGGCTCCCGGAGCGCAGGACAGCCTCGCGGGCGGAAGGAAGGCGAGGGAGCCGCGCGTTTTTCTGCCACTCTCTTTAATGCCAAAAGCCGCCTTTTCCAGCAGCTCATACAGCAACGCGGGGCCCGGAGGGTCAGGAGCAGCCCGTGCCCCTCAGCGCTGCCTCGCGCCTCGGGGAAGCACCTGGGGGACTGCCCTGCTCGGCCGGGGGGCGGCGGCGGCCGCCGGGTCCCCCCGCTTCTCCGGGAGCAACACCGGGGGAGACCGAGGGACTGCGAGACGTAGCGGGCCGGACAGCAGTGACCGTAGGGAAGTGCAAACATTACACGTGAAGCTCGACAATAATTATTAGAGGAGTAGAAAACAAACAAAACAAAAAAAGTAAAGTCCGCAGGGCTTGGCTTGCTAGGGGCGATTATTCGGAACGAGGTTAGCAAAACGAGCGGATGCTTTGGGGGAAAAAAAAAGAAAAAAGGAAAAAAAAAGGAAAAAAAAAAAAAAGCAGGATAAAGG